GTGACAGAGAGGTGATGTTGCACTTAGCCGATGGAGACCACATCACATTCTTCGGGACAAGGACGAGGACTTTACCGCGTATCATTTCCATGGCGAAGGCGACTAAGTGCCTACAGTGGGAGGATTGTCAGGGCTTTCTAGTGAGCATACTCGGGGATCCTTCGGAGGAGCGCATTCCCGGAGATTTACCCGTAGTGAGAGATTTCGTGGATGTCTTTTCGGATCAGCTACCGCGAGGACACCTAGTCATCAGGTGGAGTTCACGATCGACCTGCTGCCTGGAGCTGGGCTAGTGTCGAAAGTGTCGTATCGTATGGCGCCGAAGGAGCTTCAGGAGTTGAAGGCTCAGATTCAGGAGTTGTTGGGTCTCGGCTTCATCCGGCCGAGCGTTTCACCTTGGGAGCACCTGTCCTCTTTGTGAAGAAGAAGGACGAGACACTGCGCATGTGCATCGACTACAGGGACTTGAACCGGTTGACGATGAAGAACAAGTATCCACTCCCCAGAATAGAGGACTTATTCGACCAGCTGAGAGGTGCCCGTGTGTTTTCCTGGATAGATCTTCGTTCGGGTTACCATCAGCTGAGGATTCAGGAGTCTGACGTGGCGAAGACCGCGTTTCATACACGATACGTTCACTATGAGTTTGTCGTGATGCCGTTCGGCTTGACCATGCGCCGGCGGTATTCATGGATCTCATGAACCGTGTCTTTCACCCATCCCTGGACCAGTTTGTCATCATCTTCATAGATGACATTTTTGTCTACTCGAGGAGCGCAGCCCAACACGAGGACCATTTGAGGATCGTGTTGGAGACTCTTAGGCGGGAGAGACTATACGCCAAGTTCTCGAAGTGCGATTGTTGGCTCGATCGAGTGGCGTTCCTCGGTCACATTTTTACGGCCGAGGGCATAGAGGTCGATCCCGGAAAGATCGAGGCAATAAGGAACTGGTCAGCACCGAAGTCTGTTACCAAGATTCATAGTTTTCTCGGGTTAGTAGGCTATTACAGGAGGTTTATCGAGGGGTTTTCAAAGATAGCCCTGCCCTTGTCACGTTTGACGAGGAAGTCGGTGAGGTTCGAGTGGAGTAGCCGTTGTGAGTCGAGGTTTCAGGAGCTCAAGAGGAGGTTGACTACGGCGCCCGTGTTGGCTATTCCGGACCCTACACGGAGTTTCACTATCTATAGTGATGCTTCGAACAAGGACTTGGGTGCGTGCTGATGCAGGAGGGCAAGGTTGTCGCATACGCTTCGCGACAGTTGAAGCCCCACGAGGAGAACTACCCGACTCATGACCTCGAGTTGGCAGCCGTTGTTCACGCACTCAAGATTTGGAGGCACTATTTGTATGGTGGTCGGTGCGAGATCTACACCGATCACAAGAGTCTGCAGTACATCTTCACGCAAAAGGATTATGATTGCACCATTCAGTACTATCCGGGGAAGGCGAACGTAGTAGCCGATGCCCTTAGCCGAAAGGCGAGGGGCGAGTTGACTTGCATGATCACCCAGCAGAGTCAGCTCCTTCGAGAGTTTGGTCGAATGCATTTAGATGTCGTCGAGTCACTTCCTACGATGCCTGAAGTAGGAGGTGTTTGGTCGATGAGAGTGTGGCCCACGCTCCGAGACAGAGTTCGGAGAGATCAGTCTAGTGATGAGTTCACCCGTTCCATGAGGGCGAAGGTTCTTGCCGAAGGCGTAGAGGGATTTTACCGAGGCACAGAAGGGGAGGATCGTTGTGCCGAACGTCGAGGCCCTGAGGAAGGAGATCTTGACCGAGGCTCACAGTGCACTCTATTTGGCGCACCCTGGCAGTACCAAGATGTACCACGACCTGAAAGGGTCATTTTGGTGGAGGGGCATGAAGAGAGATGTAGCTGAGTTTGTGAAGAAGTGTTTGGTTTGCCAGTAGGTCAAAGCCGAGCACAAGTTTCCACCGGGTTTATTGCAGCCCTTGGAGATTCCACTGTGGAAGTGGGAAGAGGTTACCATAGATTTCGTTACGGGACTACCCAAATCGAGGAAGCAAGATGATGCGGTTTGGGTAGTTGTGGACCGACTGACGAAGTCGGCTCGTTTCTTACCCGTGAGGATGAACATGTCCATGGAGCAGCTCGTGGGTATCTATATCTGCGGGGTTATGCGACTCCACGGAGTCGCCAAGGTCATAGTGTCAGATCGAGATCCATGTTTTACCGGACACTTATGGGAGAGCCTCAGCGAGGACATGGGGACAGAGTTGAGGTTCAGTACCACTTTCCACCCGCAGACCGACGGCCAGTCGGAGCGGACCATCCAGACACTCGAGGACATGTTTCGAGCATGTGTTCTGGATCGCAGTAGTTTATGGGAGGAGTTGTTGCCGCTGATTGAGTTCGCGTACAACAACAGCTATCAGGCGTCGATCAAGATGGCGTTGTACGAGGCTTTGTACGGTCGCAAGTGCCGATCACCCCTTTATTGGGATGAGGTCGGCGAACGGCAGGTTCTCGGTCTGAAGATGATCGAGGACATGGTGGAGAAGGTCATGTTGATCCGTGAGGGGATGAAGGTGGCACATGAGCGATAGAAGTATCACGCTAACTTGCGTAGACGAGACCTCCAGTTTGAGGTAGGATAGAAGGTGTTCCTAAAGATCAAGCCTTTGAGAGGCGTAGTTCGCTTCGGGAAGAGGGGGAAGCTGCAGCCCCGTTTCTTAGGCCCATTCGAGATCCTCGAGCGAGTGGGCGAGGTAGCATACCGATTGGCGTTGCCACACGAGCTTTCGAGTGTGCATAACGTCTTTCACGTTTCTATGCTGAAGGATTACGTGCATGACCCATCGCACGTGTTGAGTTACAGTGAGCTTGACGTCGGGAAGGACCGACATATGAGGTACAGCCGATTGCTATTCTGGACCGAAAGGTTCAGCGGCTGAGGAGCAGAGATGTATCGCTAGTTCGAGTCCAGTGGACTCGCCACGGCGAGGCCGAGGCCACTTGGGAGCGACAACAGGAGATTCAAGCTCGCTATCCAGATTTCCAGTTCTGATTAGTAGTATTGTATTATGTATTTTTCAGTTTCTAGTTATATTCGAGTTGGCCTTATGTTTAGTTTAGTCATTTCCGGGGATGGAAATATTTTAAGGAGGATAGATTGTAAGCCCCGGCCTAAAAATAATATATTTAGCTCGACTTTATTTATCAAAATTAGTAATATTTTAATTATGCCGAGAATAATATTAGTTCGAAAACGAGATAAAATCCTAAATCTAAGTCTTGATTTATTATATTTATCGAGTATTAGAAA